GGGGGGCAGTGAGGAAATGGAGTGGGAGTGACAGCTTTCTATCACCCCCCTGGCTGGGGAGCATGCCCTTGTAGCGCTGCAGCCAGGGGCCTCTGAATGTGTGTACGCTCCTCAAAGCACTACATTAGCTGGTATTTAAGATTCAAATATCACACTTCCTTCCAGAACTATAATTCTGCAATAAAGGCTTTGCACAGGCACCGGTTTCTACTGACACAATGTTAATGAAGCTCAGTATGGGCACAAATACCCAGCTACGCTTCGCTGCAAGGCGGGAACCTAAATCACTGTTGAACCATAATATCCAAGCCACAGTATTAGGGCTCCATCTTCCAATGGAGATTATACTTTCTGAGAGTGATATAAAAAAATAATGGCCTCACTACCTGTCGCTCTGTAGTAGCTTCTCGGACAGTGCTAAGTTTCAATAAGGCATTTTCATTATGTCCATTAAATTTTCTGCCAACTACATAAACTTTTCTTCCCCTCCTAAGTTGTTTTCTAGATTGCTAAATACTCACTGTGCTTCATTTTAGAAGTGTGTGCATTCAAGTATGGATGGAAGTTAATTTTATATCAGTTTAAATTTGTAAAATATGTTAGGATTAATAAAAACACAATGAAATAATAATACCTAATAATGCAAACTATATGAGCAATTAATGTTCATTATTATAGTATAAAAGTCAGTTGGCATAGGAGAGTTTACTTTTACTATTTCTACTGTGATGAATGATGTAGTTACTACACTTCAGAGCATGATGCAATTTGTGGATATGAATTGCTGTTATGATAAAACGTGTGAACAAGGAAAGGCTCACTTTTTTAACAATAATAATTGTATCATTCCTAAATAGAAATGCCATCATGTTCTTCCTATGTGGCAGAAATGTAAACATGTGTATTTGTTGAAGGTACAGCAAGTGTAGCAAGAGCATGGAGTGGCACCGTTGATGAAATTGTTGGAAAACGAATTGGTCATTTTTTCACAACGTACTTCAAAATGAATTTTCCTGGTCTAGCAGAGTATCCAGACGTCTTTGCAGTGTGCCTTATATTGCTTCTGTCAGGTAAGAAATGGTAATCTTTTAATTTATGAAGGTCATATCAAATTATAGAGAATGTCCTGAATGTGATGAATAGATCCTGTAAATATTTTTATACCAGTAACAAAAGAAAATACGTTACAGTTTTAATGTTTTGTGACTTGCCAGAGTTTCTTCTAATATTACTAGTGTCATACAAAATCATACAGTACATAGATTTAAAGGCTCTGTGAATCAAAATCTGAAAGCAAATTTTCATGCATACTTTTTTTTTTTACTTTAACTTAGCTATGGGGACTCCTGTATAATATAAATTCTGTAAAATGACTAATACAAGAATAACTTGATAGCATACGTGATAACTTCCTTAGCCTGATGAAGGGTTTTTGAACCCAAAAGCTTGCTTAAAAATTGTTTTCCAACTATTTAAGTTGGTCTAATAAAAGATATCAGATTCACCCAAAGATCCTTGTCTGCCTATGTCCTTAGACCAACACGGCTACAACCTACACCCTTGATAGCATCTTTACTTTTTGTGACTCTAAGGCCATAACTGGGCCACTCCATACGCATGTACCTGATGATCATAAGACCTCATATTGTGGCCCAGCAAAAATAAAGTGGAGGATGGTCCTCCCATCTTTTAGCCCAATAGCCTTCTGGTTAGGCCACTTGCAAGGATACAGGAGACCATAGTGACTTTTAGGTGTGCAAACACCTTCAAGTGATTCACAAGATAAATCCAGAAATCTCAAATAGGAACCTATAGTGTCAAAAACATTTCTGAACTGTGGTGGTCTTTCTGAGTTCTTTGCAACAGAAGAATTGCATTTTTTTTTTGTAGGAAAAAAAAAATTGAAAGCTAAGAGCTGGCATTTTCTGAGGGGTGCCTTGAGTCTAATAAGGGGTGCCTTGATTCAAAAAAGGTTGAGAATGCTGGGTTCAGGATTAGCCAATTCCCTTTCCTTAGAACATGACCATCAGGAAGAGAACAGGAATTTAATTTATCACTTTGGTTAAGAAACACAACTAAAGATTGGTGGTTTCAAACAATGAAGTACAAGGTTAATTCTTCTTTTCTCTTCCTGCCGGTGCTATGCAAGGAATTACTGTAGCTTTTACAATGTAATCTAATTTTTTAATGATACACATCTCCTTTTGTCTCAGAATAATTATTTCCTATTGCTACAGTCCCTTGAACATTCTTTCCCATGCTTATGTGTCCACACTGCACATGGAATAGGATTGCAAACTATGCATAAGTGAAAAAAAAAACCTGTCGGGGAAAAGCCAGTCATTTCCCTAAGGGCTCCTTAGCATTCTCAAAATCCCCCTCTCAGATTTCCTTCTTTTGAGTCATATTGTATGAGGGTGATTGAGCGTGTTAACAGGACATGGATGCTGCTGCTGAGGGAACTCCTAGAGACTGCTTATTCAGTGTTTTCTGGCTAGTAGTGAAAAGACTGCTTTTTCCTAATGACACTTATCTCGTCTGCTTAGCCAAATAATGGAGACTGGGGACTTGCATTTACATTTAATTTTCTTTTTTGTATTAAGACATTGCAAAGGAGTATAGCTTGAGTGTCCATACAAACTATCTGAGAAATCTGGATTAGTGATTACAACCTTTTAATCCTGTTAAATTAACTGTTGACTGATTCTCCCATTTCCCCCCCCACCGCCTGATTTATAAGAAAGAGCAAAAGTGCATTGTTAATAACAACTAAAAATGTCAAGTATACCGATTTCATGTTTTACATAACATGATAGCAGTTTTAGCTTCCTCCTTCCTGCCACTGTTTAGTAACTGTCCAGTTAATAAGCTTTGGTGGTAGGACTCAGTGCTTTCTCTCTCTCTCTCTCTCTCTCTAGATATATACACACGCACGCACACACACCCTTTTGGTATGTGTGGAAGTTCTTTTGGCATTGGGCTATCCCAGATTCAGGGGCTTTTGTATGATGAAATCTCTAGAAACCATACTGAAATTAAAATAACAGCTCCTCTTCTCTCCTTCTGCTCCCCCCCTCCTCTCACACACCCTGCAAACATTTTGTCGCTTTAGCAGCCCATGAAATCCAGAGGAAATGGGCCACTATACCTGAAAGAAGCTGAAATGGGCAAGGACAGAAAGCATACAAAATGTCCGGAAAATAAATTTACTTAGGAGCAGGTGTTGAATTTTAACTTAAATGAGGGCTATCTTCTGTCTAGAAAATAAATATGGAAAAATACATAGAAGTTGGGAGCATTTTAATGCTGGAAAAATATTATATCTGCTTCAACAGAAAACCATCTTGTTATATTAATTTTTTGTTTTCTTTAGCATTCACCAGATAAGTTGAGCTTTCCAATCTGTAGCTACTTCTTAATTTAACCACTGTTTCCTGGGTTTTTTTCTATCTGCTTTTTCATTTCTGCTTTCTCTCTTCATCTTCTGTTTTCCTTCTACCTTCCCTTAAGAATCTTTTTTTCATATTCCAAATATAATTGCTCTGTTAATTAAATCATACTAGCATTGGGGGAGGAGGGGAAGGAAGAGTGTGGCTGTGCTTCCTGCTGTGTAGGTAATACCAGATAGAGCTCCCTGGAATCAGTAGGAATAGCCAAGCAACAGGTGTTTTAAGAGGAATCTCTCAGTATAATTTGTAGCAGCCTGGGCAGCTGCTATGGTGTCCTGAATTTCATAGTGGCTTTCAGTGGGAGCAGAAGAAATCTATGAAGCTCCCCTTGCTCAAGTTTTTCTTTTATCAAATGAATAATCTCTGATAATCTGCATTCCTAAGGGCTTCATTTTGTAAAAGATATTTTGTATACTGAATTTCATATCGTGTTCGGTCAATGAGGGTATTGCGCTCTAGCAGGGTGAAAGGGCAGTTTAAGTGTCTAAAAAACAACATCACTCTGCTGCCAATAGGAATACCACCAATGAAGGGAACTCAAGCATATCATATGATAACTTTCAGCTTCTGCAGAAATAGCTGATGTCTCATTAGCAGAGTCAGAAATTTAATTAGGATATTATCCTGATGAGCTTAACATTTTCAGAGTTAATCTCTCAATAACAAGGAAGCATTATAGATGTGGAAGTGCTTAGGTTTACAGAGAAGCTAAGAGACTTTGCTATTATATTGTATTTTGGTTTCTTTATATATTTGCTGTCCAGTTTTCCACTAAACTATACATAATTCTTCCAATTGCCAACTGTCTGACTTCACAGTAGGTCCCTGTTGGAATAATTTCAAATACTGTAAACATACCTCTGTGACACAGAGGTATATTTATTTTATACCATAATTTACAGAGCAGTAAAGGCTATAAAGAAACTCTCTAACACTAAGTACACACAGATAAAAAGCCCAAGGCTGGATCAGTTCAATCTTTGCAGTTTAGTCTAACCTGCATAGATTGAACAGATAAGCAAGTACAGACATTTACTTTTGATTCTGGAAATGCAGCCACATGCCTGCAGTGGCTCAGGCCAGAGGCCAGTGGTTGCTAGAGCATGCCTTCCTGCTTGGCTGGAGCAGACATATTGGGCAGATAGCAGACGGCTTAGGATCAGGCTTGGCACCGCCTTGCATGCCTTATATAGCACACAGGGCTACAGACCCATGGGGAGCTCTGTGGGCTGGATGACAGGGCTCAGAGGGCCATGGGCCAGGGGCTCAGCACCTCTGCTCTAAAACAAAATCTCTTAAGAGGGGTTTCTATAATTAATAGCTCCATTATTCTAGACACTAGTGGTAACAAGTTGGACAAAAAATGGAAAGGGCAAGCATTCATTTAAATGTTTGTGAACTGTTTACTTTTCCTAAATTAAAATTTTGACTAGCTATTGTGAGGTACCAGATATCAGTGTGAGGCAGTGCAGAGCACTCACTACCTAAGCCATGTCTAAGTTCAGTGTGCACAGAGAATTATAATGGTCCCAGATAAAGAATCTCACCTTCTCTTTCTTCCATACTTTCATGCATGCACATTCACCTGCACCCATATGCACACAAATGGCTTTTTGCAAGATTACACCTATATTGAAATGGAAGAAAATTTGAATCCGACTGGTTTTCTTCATTGTAGCCGAGGGGGTGTCTACATGCACATGTGTGTAGATATTTAGATAAAAAATAAGAAACAGGTTTGAGGAAATCTTGCATGGTTTAATAAATCTTTTCATCAAAATTGTATAGCTGAAATAAGCTACACTTGCTGTAAATACTTTTTTTAGTAATTCATGACCATCAAGAATTCCATATTTCTTGGAATTTAAGATATCTTTGAACTTAAGGCACACCCCGCACATCTTTAAACTCTCAATTTAAGATAGAAAGAAGTATCAAGTAAAGATGCATTTACCAGGACACAACCTCTGTGGTGCATATAAGGACTTTGTTGCATGTTACACTTAGAACTTGTTAACTGCACTTAAAACACAAACATCTGCACGTTCAAGAAGTAAAGTATGTGCTAAGTGCACTTGTATTGTAGCAAAGTTGGGACTTTTCACAGGAGTATCTCCAGATCATATTAAGTAGCACATGTTTTGCTTTTGTCCAACCGCTCCACAGAGAAAATATGAGCAATTTGCAATCCTGGGGGTGATTGTCGATCCCAGACCTAGAACTGCACCAGAGTCTCGAATCAGCTATGGTCCTGGGGTACTGGTTGGATCTAGCAGCAGGGATGGTATCCTGCTTGCCTCTGCCCACCAACAATGGCAGAGACCTGGCTCACCAGAGGTCCCTATGAAGCAAGCATGCAGGCTCGGGGATCATAGTAAGCATTACTGTGCGACTGTTCATGGCATGCACAGTGTCTCCGGGCTTGTTTTCTTTTCTAGAGAAGAAAACAGCTTCCTCACTTTAAAAATTTAACCTAAATTTGGGGGGCTGATTTTCAGGGAAAAGGTTGTATGTAGTAAATTACGGTAATATATTTATTGGCAACCAGTATTCAATCATCACATTCTTGTTTGGTTATCTTCTGGCATTGTCTTTTATTGGAATTTTTATATGTATATCATTTTTATCATAACAGTTTGATTATTATGATTTGGTTGACATTCATTTGAATTACTTTTTTTTCCTTTTTAATTTCTTTACGTGTATTTAAGATTTGGATCATTTTTAGAATAAATATTTTGTTTTAAATAGTGTGTCTTAAATTCAAAGGAATATTGGAACCAGACTCTTCATGGGAAGAAGACTGAAGAAAATCTGTTTTACTGTTTTATCCAGTGCCTGTTGTTATAGGATTAAAGTTTTCATTAATCTAGTACCATTAACTCCTAAAAGCCATAAAGTCTAGTACAGAGGTTCTCAAACATTTTCTTACTGCATACCCCCTTCCAGATTTACCAGCTGCTCACATACCCCTACAAGCATGTTTTCTATTTTAATGCTTTATTGCTAATTATTATTATAATGAAAATTAAATCTGCCAGTATGCAATTTCTCTCGTGTACCCCCCAGAGATGTCTTGCAAAACCTCAGGGGTACGCATACCACAGTTTGGGAACCCCTGGTCTAGTACAATTAACTTAGTACAGTTCATAATAGTAGCATACATTTCTTGTAAAAATGCTCAACTACCTGAGGAGGATATTAAATCTTTAAAACCCCACTTATATTTTGTAGGTCTTCTGTCTTTTGGAGTCAAGGAATCTGCATGGGTGAATAAAATCTTCACTGCTATTAACATCTTGGTCCTCCTCTTTGTTATTATCTCTGGCTTTGTAAAAGGAAACGTTGATAACTGGAAAATAAGTGAAGAATATCTCATCAATCTCACCTTAGAAACACAGTAATTATGTATTTTTCTTTTAATCTTCCAATTTTGTTCTATATCCCTTAGTCCTGTTTTAAGTTAGTTTCTGAATTATGTCTTATGTTGTACATGCTTTTGTCTACTGTATCAACAGGTTTAGATTCTATATAATAATAATAGTATGTTGTTGGGAAAGGTACTTATTCTCAGGAAAAATATATACTAATTTCTTGTTTTCTTTTAATAATCTTGTCTTTAGCCACTTGAAAGTTACCACTTGGAAGCCTAATATTTAATTTCAATGAAAATTTACAGCAAGCTCTGAGAACTGATCCTACTCCAGTAAAATCAATGGGAGTTTTGCTATTAATTATGAAGTGGGATACAACATGGTTTAATCTTAATTATTTATCAGTTTTGTTCTGTTGAGCTTACCATTCTTAGTGAAACTTAGTGATACAAGATCCTTATCTCAAGCTTCATGCTGGTATGGGGTGAGGGTGGGGAGGGCTTTGGCTTATGAAATGGAACTGAAGTATGAGAATGCACCCATTTTAAAAGTGTTCATTTAGAGTTATTAGAGGCAAAAAACCATCACAACATTCCTTCCACTACTAACTAAATGTAACTCTTTTATATCATGTTTTATTTTTCTTTAGAAATTATTCTTACTTTGAAAACATAACAAGCACATATGGGACTGGTGGTTTTATGCCATATGGCTTCACGGGAACATTGGCAGGTGCTGCAACCTGCTTTTATGCTTTTGTGGGATTTGATTGCATTGCTACAACTGGTAAGGCAAGATTTTTGGATACTTATTTAAAGCAGAACAGATTATCTGTCACGTTCTTTCTCCCTCTACCTATACTTAAACTCCATAAACCTGGCTTGAAAGAAAATTGAACTCATGCTTGAGTGTGGCAACCCCCACAATTTGTATTCTTTTCTCCATTCTGCTGTTATGAATAAAGTTCTCTTTGGCTACAAACTAATGTCACCAAATGAAGCTAACTAGCTGTTCTGGGATGTGTCCCGGTATAGCTGATCTACTTCATTAGGTTAAAGAGATGTCCCCAGCTGTCTCACAAGGTGGGGTCCCTACCACTCCTACAAGCAGGAGGGTCAAATCATGAGGAACAACATTTGGGGAGAGCCTCTGCAAACAGGGGAACCCTGGGTTTCCAGCCTGAGGATTCCCCAGGTCCTTTGCTGACCTGCGCGAGGTCCCACACTGCCCTGTACCAGTTTCTACACCACCCCATGCTGCCACACTGGTCCCACACCACTCTGTGCTGGGTCCTGCACTGCTGTGTGCCACTGCACCATACCAGGATTTGTGCTGGGTCCTGCGCATCACTGCATGGCAGGTCCTGTGCTGGATTCTGTACCTGGGGAATCCCTGGAGCATCTTTCCTAACAAGGAAACCCAGGCAGGTTCTATCAGGACTTCAGAGGACGATCCGATGGATCCCAGGAATTGTCCCACAAGGAAATTTCTGAGACGTGTAGGATTGGACTCCTAAAGCCCCAGGAGCTCCTGCCCTGGGCAGAAGGAGAGCAGACAGACCAGTCATAAAACAAAAACATGTCTACCACAAAAAAAGTTGCATAAATTTTATACCACCTGTCATGGCCACAAGTTTGGGTATTTGTGGTGGGATAAGGGGTATAGACATCTGTTTGCTTGGCCTTTATGCCACCATAATATTTTTCCAGGCTTTCCAGTATTTGCCTATATCAGATCTTTCCAGTCTTTGCCTATATCAGATTCAATGGCAAGGGAAGCATCTGGGATGAGTCAGACTGGAATCTTTTAGCTAAATACATATAAAGGATCTTGGCTTTTGCTTTTTTGCCCCTACTGGTTGACTGGCTTAATTTTAACTTTAAAAAGATTTCAACAGTAACAATTCTCAGAATTCCTTTATGTAGGTTTGAAATGGGTACTTACGAAGCTTATTGCAGTAGAAGATTTTCAATTTACTTATTGACTAAAGAGATATATCGCAACTTTCCAAAGCCTAATTTTATATATCAATAAATGGAAATTACGATGCCTATAAACAATAACCAGTATTGTGTACATGTAATATTTAATTTTGCTTACATTATTTTTTTCATATCGTATCTGGCAACAAATTACATAATGTTGCTTTGAGTTTTCCTTATATAATACCTTAAGCCAGCTATTTTTTCTTGTATAGTATCTTAAAGCTTAGACTGCTGAGCTTTTTCTTTATATTGATACATATTGAAGTAGAAGATTAAAATATTTCCTAGATTAATTAGAGTTTTTGTTTTTCCTCCCCAGGGGAAGAAGTCAGGAATCCTCAGAAAGCTATACCTATTGGAATTGTGATTTCCCTTCTGGTCTGTTTTATGGCCTATTTTGGTGTGTCAGCTGCTTTGACTCTTATGATGCCATACTACCTTCTAGATGAGACTAGTCCCCTCCCTGTAGCATTTGAATATGTTGGATGGGATCCTGCAAAGTATGTTGTGGCTGTGGGATCCCTCTGCGCTTTATCCACAAGGTAAAGAAAATAAAGGACATATTGGGAAATACAACTGGTGATTACTGTAATATTTTAAACAGATGGTCACTTTTATATTAAGGTGTGATTTTATAAAGGGTCAATACTTAAAAATGTTTCAGATATTAATAGTATGTTATCACTATTAAAAAAAATAGGTGTTATAGATATGCCATAGTTAGAAATATGGTCCTGTTGGACTTTGTTATCAATGTATTAATAATTAATTAAAACACCTATTAATTAAATCTTTATAAACTATTTATAAAGTTAACTTTAATATAATGAGTGGCCAAATTTATTATTTTAATTAATAATTTTTTATAGGTTGTTAAATATATTATATGTGCAGTATGTGCATCTTCCTGTACCAGTGGTGCTCAACCTTTTTGCTCAGTGGGCTGGATAGACAGTTCGTGGTCTGTCTGTGGGCTGGATGTGGCCAGTGGTCGCTATCCAGCAGCCAGGGGAGATGCAGTGGGGCGTCATCTGGCTACATGGAAGGAGGTGCAAGGGCAGCCCTGTCCTGATGCAGCTGTGAGGGGGAAGGGAGCTTGGCACAGCCCCACAGAGAGGGGGAGGAAGGGGTATGACCTGGCCCAATCCATCTGTACAGGGAGGGTGCATGACCCAGCCTCGCAAGAGGAGATGGACATTGCCTGGCCATGAACTAGCCACACAGAGGAAGGGGGCCTCAGTCCGGCCATGTGAGGGGAAGGGGGCTTGATCCAGTCCCAATCCAGCTGCACAGGGGGAGGGGGTATGTCCCATTGGGAGAAGAGGGCATGGCCTGGCTCCAACCTGTCTGTGCAGAGGGATGAGGCCACGACATGGCTCCCATCTACCTCATGGGGCTTGGGAATTTGGAAGCAGGGAAGTATTAATAGCCACAGCTCCCCCATCACCAAATTTCCCAACCTCTGGGGAGCTCCGCTAGCCAAATGCCATGGCTCCATGGGATGCATCTGGCCCATGGGCTAGAGTTTGAGCACCCCTGTCTTATACATTATATAGCCCAAGTGTACTGGGGTATAGGAAGTAGAATGGAATAATACTGATATTTGAAGGTAGGAACAGCTTCAGTGTTCTTCTCCACCAATTGAGCTCAAATACATTATTAAAATGGTTTAAGTTGACTCCAGAGATATAGAGTATATGGGCTTAATGGCTGTACAGCGAACCTATGAGTATTAAAGATGAGCATATTTAATTTGACATTGATCTGGTAAAAGACTGGAATGTAAAAAGGGAAATTGTGATAGAACTGTAAGTTGAAAAAACTTTACACTTGCACACAAAATAAACTCTGTTTCTACAGTTAGTATGGGGACTATAATTATTTTCTACAAAGCTGCCTGATATGGACTCCAGCAATTTTAAGATTTTTAGGATATGTCTTTCTCATATTCCATAAAAATGAAAAGTAAATGTTCAAATAGAAACTAGATCAATAAAACAATAATGGAGAATAAAATATTTCTAGAAACTAAAACATTGGTTACCAACCATATTTTAAATATTAATTGTGTAATTTTTCTTTCAAAATATTTATAAACTTCTAATGCTTTATTCAGAGAGGTCAACTTTCACTCTGTCTACTATTTTTTTAAAATCTACCCTTATTTCTGAACTTGGGAGCATAATTCACTGAAAAGGTGAAAACACTGCTTTTGTGTTTTCTGAACTGAACACTTACCTCTTACCTCAGACATTAACGCTTTTACATAGTTATACAGTTCCATTACTTTGCAGAATATACTTGAAGGTGAGAAACAGCAAAAATAACTTATCCAAAAACAAAATAGTAAAAATATATAGGTGTTTTAGTAATATCAATATCAAAAATATAAGTTTAAAACTAAGTTCAGATTTCCTGGCTTTGATTCAGAAAAGTATCCTTTTTGGGAAAAGTTGCTTAAAGACACACTTACGCGTGCATTTAAGTACTGAATCAGCACGAAAAGCAGTTAATACATAAATGATTGTGAGTTCTGCATGGACATTTAACTTTAATGCATGCATCTCACCAGCAATGCCAAAGCTGCTTAACTTCTGTGATTCATAAATTCTAGATTCATACTGAGAATATGTAAGTGATATATTTAGTTCCGTGGAGCAAAAAAGGGCAACCATACAACCTTTATTTGAGCTGGTTAACAAGTTGTATGGTTGCTACCAAGGTTAAAATAGGTGGAATTTTCTTTGTTTTTGCAATTTTCCTAGTGTAGTTATTTTGCTATGGAGGGAAGAAACAAGATGATTTTTGATGTTTTTAAATGAGAGCTTTGAGTTCGCAGTTGTTTCAAAATCTTTCCGAGCGCTGAAATTATCAGCAGTTTAAAATAGGAAGCTTAAATTCACCTTCTGAATAAAATAGGTCATATTAATGGTGTTTGACTAGAGATGCTTAAATTGAAAAGGGTAATTTGCCTATATATAAAGTGTGTGGTCTTTACTTTGAGGTATCATTGATTAACACTGTTATAAGAGGCTGCAGAATGTGAAGTGCTAATGCTTGTTGATTTACTGCTGCAGACTATCAGACTCTTCCAAGGAAAAACAAAGCTTAATTGCATAGCTATTGCTACCAGGACCTGGTCCACTAGTACCTAAGAACTACAATGAAGGCAAAAGTTATTCAGTTATTGAACTATTGTTTCCAAATAAGCAATAACATAATCACAAAAAAGGACCAGAAATTGCAGTGGCTTACCAAAACAAATCTGTTTCTGCCCCACCTGTAGTATCTTCGGCTACAGTATTTTTTTTAATTGTGACTTGTTTTCAGTGACTTTAATTAGCATTGTTTCTCTTTTCTGTGATACAATCTTGCATGAATTGTGTTTGCCATGTTGCATGTGTTTGCTTTTTACTCAGTCTTCTTGGATCCATTTTCCCAATGCCACGCGTAATCTATGCTATGGCGGATGATGGGTTGCTTTTCAAATGTCTAGCTCAAATCCATTCCAAAACGAAGACCCCATTAATTGCTACTTTATCATCGGGTGCAGTAGCAGGTGAGACTAAGAGTTGCTTATTGTAAGGAAAGGTGCACTACTTCACATATGGCATATGTACAAATAAAACTATTGGGCAAGTTGGCTTTGCTTTTGACTGAGATGATAATATATTATTGTTTCCAGGTAACATGACCTTTTGGTGAAATTTTTCTCCCAGACATTTTTGTATTTTTGGTTAATCCAAAGCAGACATTTAAAAAACAAAATCTAAACAATAAACATTTTCAAGCTTTCCTTTCATTAAGTTGAGTTTGCCAGTAGAGCACAGTATTTTTCCTAACATGTATTTGAACTATAAATTTTTCTGTTCTAGTCTTCTCGGCTCTATGTTCCCTTTACCCCGAATTCTGTTTGCCATGGCACGAGATGGTTTACTGTTTAGTTTTCTTGCCAAAGTGAGTAAAAGGCAGACACCATTTGCTGCCACCTTGACAGCAGGGGTCATCTCTGGTAAGCTCTAAAAATACAGGTTTCTTCAAAACTGAGATTTAAACTCTATATGCACGTGCATGGACATTTTATAAGAGGGGCCTGCTTGTTAACTTCCTTTGCATGTAAGTTGGGAATAAAATTGCTGACTAATTGAAGGGTATAAGAATTCCAGATCATGGCAATCATGGTGGTGGTGATGTCTTTGAAGTGAAAGGACTTGAAACCCTTCCTTCTAAATTTGCCTCTTCCTCTATTGCAAATAAAATAGTTATTTACTATGTGGTACCTGGAGTAATCCTCTTTATAGCTCAGCCTTAGACCGTGCCTTGTTGTTGCATTTAATGCAAGCAATCTTAGAAAAATATTAGTTTTTCTACATACATACTGGGAAAATATTAAGTTTTTCTTGTGGGATATAAAAAAGAAATAAAATTGTACCTACAGCATAGTTTAAAAGAAAGAAACTATTTCACATCTTGTCGGCTAATAAAAGGGACTAATCCATTTGGTTGAGATAATTCGCAAGAATCATTATTTCACAATATTACTGAAATAATGAATCTTTACAAACCTGTAGGAAGACACATTCATGCTCCAAATCATTGAATAATTATCATTAATTCATCTTTTCTATGTTGTAATAGAAATCTATTATATATAGAATAATTTCCCATAAAGAGCGACATTACACAGATTAAAGTGTTTTGGTTTTAAATCTGAATTTCCAGTGCACTTTAATGTTGTGCTAGACTACTTTTTCTGTAATAATTTGGAAAAACAGAAATTTGGAGTCAAAGTGACAGCTCCATGTGATGCCATAATCAACAAACTCAGAAAAAAGAGGGAGTGAAACTGTGTTCCTAGGTTGCATCGGCTGGTAAATATAATTACACAGTCCTCATTGTAGCTGTATGAAAGAAGAAATTCAAGAATTAGTTTCAGGAAATAATTCTATGTTTGAGAAGTGTATCTAAAAAAAACCCCATAGCTTTTATAGTGGATAACTTTTTTCAGCTGTATGTGTATCTAGTAATTTATAATCTTAGATTTTGTTGTAAGTAGTTTAGCAAAACTGTTTAAGTGTATCCAGTATTAAAGTTATCTGGCATTCCCACCTTAGCATGAATAGTTTCAACATTTTAAGCAGTGTTAAGAAGATTAAATTTTGGCCTTTTAATTTAAATGATCAGCTCAAGACTACAGTTGAGGCCAAATGTAGTCACATGTACAAGTTATTGTGACTATCTGTCTCCCATATAATAATCATAATAATGAAATTCTGCAGAAAGTGAAGTGCTCTGAAAACAGTCAAATCAAATTTTAGCAAAGGCAGGAGACTAATGAGAGGTATTTCCTGGATTTGAAAAGCTGCATGCTTTTCTCGATCATATTTGCACTTTAATGCAATATCGTGTGATGTGCACCTAAAATTGGATTAGCAGTTTAGCTTCTAGTTTTATGCTAGGTTTTATAGTAAGCAGGCTTAGCTTCTTATTCTGATAATGAATGTGTAGAAGCTTATTTATTAATACTTCTACTTAGACTATATATAAGTTTTTCATATGGTAGCATTTTTTTATTTCTTCCAAATAAAGGCTAAATAGGAAAATTTAACCCCCTGAAAAGCTATATAGTAATATTTTGAACTACGGTAAATAAAATGTTCCCATTTTAAAAATATTTTCCTAAAAACATATAGGTACTAATTTTATCACTGTTTAAGGTGAGATTGTCTTTTTGTGGGTGCTTTATGTGCTGCTTAGTTCAACATTCTTTAAATGCTGCATGAGTTTTACATATACAAAGGACTGGGAAATGAGAAGGTTGCATTTTGTAATAAAAGTAAATGTATCTGTTTACTTTGACAAAATGCATGTTCATCCTACATTCATGGCAAGGACAGTATTAAAGATGTGACATTTCATTTTTTTAACTAATAGACTGCCCAATTTTTGAAAAATCCTGTGTAAAGATTAGGATAGAAGAATGTCAAAAAAGAGCAGATTCTTAGCCATAAAGTGATAGAGAATATTTATGATAAATAGATGTGATTTAAAAGGAGAAATTGAGACGTTGGATTGGTTTTAAAATATATTACATATTAAAATTAGCTAGAGAATGTGTAATATATGGGGACACTTTCCAATATCTAATTGGAATGTTTTCAGTTATGAGCTTATTCACATGCTGTCATCCCTGAGCTCTACTTCCCTGCAGTTCTTTTTTTTTTTTTTGTACAAGTTGACTGCTGACAAGGGTAATGAGTGTAGTGTGCATCCACGATCATGCAGAATATCATTTACTTTGGTTGTCCAGGAGATAAATTTTAGCAATATGATAGTCTTGTTTTCAGAAAGTTTCATAGTTTCATAGATGTAGGGTCGGAAGGGACCTAAGTAGATCATCAAGTCCGAACCCTTGCCCTGGGCAGGAGTGAATACTGGGCTCATATGACCCCAGCTAGGTAATTATGAAGCCTCCTCTTAAAGACCCCCAAGGTAGAATCCAGCACCACTTCCCTTGGAAGTTGGTTTCAGATCCTAGCCGCCCTGACTGTGAAGTAGTGCCTTCTAATGTCTCAAACAATTTATGGCCGTTATTCCTTGTTACGCCAGGAGGTGCTTGGGGGAACAGGGTCTCTCCCATTCCCTGCTGGTCCCCCCCGGTAAGTTTATAGATGGCAGCCATGACCCCTCTCAGCCTTCTCTTGTTAAGGATCTTTTCATTGCATATATATGTGTATGAATATGCATGCATACACATATTCATATATATTTAATAGGCAGACAAGGTTCTTTGGGTAAATGTGATATCTTTTATTAGACTAACTAAATAGTCGGCAAAATTGTTCTTTGCAAGTTTTTGGGCACAAAACCCTTCTTCAGGAATACATATTGATTCACACATATACACATATTTACAAAAATATAGGTAGCTTTGTTAAATTTGACCGTCTTTATTTACACTGAAATTCTTGTAGTAATACAAAACCTTATAAAAGCCTTTTAAGTGGTTTCAATATCCAACCAAACTCAATAAACAAATACATGTTTAAAATAATCGTCAGCTAAATACATTTTGAATAAATTTGCTTTATTGTTACATGCAGTGGCTGCCTTCATTACTTGCTTCATGAGCTGTACAGTTGCACATCTATATGCAGAAAATATAGACCAAAAATACTCACTAAGAGATGCTATGGATTACACTGGTTTGGTTTTAAAAATACTTTTATATTCAATTTGTCTCATTATGGAACTGCTCAATTTTGCCATTAATTTTAATTATAGCAGGATGAGGTTTTTAACTTGGAAAATTTACTAAATCAATAGTGTAGAGCTCCTAGGGGAGAAGAAATGTGTGAATTGCCATATATTATTTTGCTTCAAAAGGGAGACAAGGATTTATCCACAGGTGAAGGCAATGTAAATATGTAATAATATGTAAACCTGTTGACTGCTTGTATGTTTTGCAGATCATCTATTTTACCCTGTATGAATAGAGAGAGACTGACTATCATTCAAGGGGGCTAGGACATAGTCCAGGAGAAGCTGCCAGCCCCACAGAGTGACAAAAGGAAGTTGCTCAGATAGATGGCAAAAATAAGTATGATTTCACCTGGAAAAAGGTCTGATCAAATGAAGGACAGCTTAGGGGAATGAGGAAGGGTGAGGTTGATGGGCAGCTGAGCTGGAAAGGAGAGAACAGGAAGGGGACTTGGACCTGGATGAGCTCATATCCAGAGACTGAACAGCCAAAGGAGGCTGAGTTCTGGTAGAGGTATGAAGAAGTGAAACACCTGGCTGGACAACTGTGAAGATTTGAGGTTTCATCAAATAGTGAAACTGGGCCCTGGAAGAGGGCAATTTTAGCAACTTGAAGTCCTCTGCCTCTTCAGGAAAACCATGATATGGGTGGCGCAGAACATCTCCAGGGGGTGCTGCCACTACAGAGGGAAGAACCGGGGTCCCCCACAGATCAGCAGCTGCTTGGCCCATTGGCAGCTCAACCCATGGCTGCGGGCAGGCTCCACTGAAAAAAAGAAAAAGGGATCGGGCTCCTCACTGCTTCTGCCTTCAGCAGATGCCTATTGAAGGCAGATGCAGTGAGAGGCCTTAAGCTTTTTTTCTGTGGAGCCTTCCTGCCTCTCCCGCAGCCGGGGGAAAATCTAATAGCTGTAACGCATCATTGCAAACTTAACTACATACCAGTGTAGTTCAGTTTGCAATGACGCAAACTCATCTAAAACAACCAAAACTTGCACGCATGTAATGTGTGATGCCATTAAGCCACATTTTCGTCACATGTACAAGTACCCCAGGAGGTCCACTGGACATCATAGTGTGACCAAGACCTTAAAAAAGTTAAAGATGTATTATGTACCCAGTCTGTGGTGAAGGCTGTGGGTTTTTTGAGCATGTCAGTAATGTAAACAGGTATAGCCTGTGTAGTTATTAGTCATGTCCTGCTACAAGAAGTGGGAAGAATGGAGCATTCTGTGGTGTATTTCAGAAAAAAACTTACAACAACAACCCAACAAAGCATATGGAACAATAAGAAAGGTCTAGCTATGAAATGGGCAATGAAGAAGTTGTGATACTATACACCAGGCAGCCACCTTATGGTGGGCCCCAGTCATACCACTTCAAAAAGGCTACACCAAATAAAACCAGGCTACACCAAATAAAACCAGGTAATACTAAGCTAAAGTGGTGAGATACATGAAGGTCATGAAGTGCTCCTTTACATGATATTAGAAGAAAAAAGAAGAAGTACCCTTTAACACTCTGACCTATGGTGGCAGAAGTCCTGATCCTTAAAGAATTGGATATAAATTCTGCAGAAGGGAGGAGGAAAAGGCAAAAGACAGTTAGACATGGTATTTCTTTTATCAGGAAAAAAGGTGTGAGCAATGGACAGCTCCTATTGGGGAAGAGCAGGACTGGAAAAGACCTACCAAAAGAAAGGGCCTGAGTTTATTTTCTCAGGGAGATGAACCAATGAAGCTCAAAAGGATTTCTGATGATTACCAGAAAGGTCCTAGGGAGGGCCCAGGAAGACTTTGGGGAGACTTACAAAGGCTGATGAGGTAGTCCCATGGGATGAAATTTTGTTTCTTTTCATATAAATGGTAGTACCTGGGTGTTTTTAGTCCTTCCTCTGCACTGGCCCTACTTCTGCATATAAGGCCTTCCCTTGTAACAATCCTCCAAAACTTTCTTAAAATAGCTTGGTTAAAAAATGTGATATTAAAGTGATTTTTAGAAGGGGATGAGCAGCCCCTATCCTCAGAGTGCTAAGGATCACAGAAATGACTGGCCAAACTTTGCTGACACCCTAGTAAGTGATAATGAGGTGGAATCATTTTTATTCTTAATACCTAAACAGCATGACCCACCACTGACTTTAACAGAGAATCATAGAGTCATAGAAAAGTAGGGCTGGACGGGACCTCCAGAGGTCATCTAGTCCACCCCCCTGCTAGGGAAGGATCATTCCTATCCAAACCATCCCATACAAACCATAATATAAACTCTGCATAAGACTACTGTCAACCCAGTGGCTGTTTTTTTTTTGGTTTTTTGACATTGCCTACTCTTGAGGGCTACGCTTCCTGAATGTAGATGCAAGACTCTACAGCTCATCATTGTCTATCATTTCAGGAACCCAGCTCTAAGCAGCTAAATTTGAAAATGATGACCTTGACTTTTAAAATACAATAGGATTTTATTGTATAATTGTTACTAAAACAACTAGGTAAAAACACTGTATATACACTGTTGAGGCTGACTTTAAAATATAAACTCTCAATATACCAGTTTCGCACAACTTCTGTATTTCTCCTTTCTCTGTTCTAGCTGTTATGGCATTTCTTTTTGACCTCAAGGCTCTAGTGGATATGATGTCTATTGGTACACTTCTTGCATACTCACTGGTAGCAGCCTGTGTTCTTATTCTTAGGTGAGTCACTACCACCCCACTTTGTTCTGCTATCTTATCATTTGTCTTGATCAGAATATATAACTACCATAGAAGTTCGTGTAATTTTTTTGCTAGGTACGTACATCTTAGAAAACTTGGTCAACTCATCTAAATGTTAATGCATATGTAATTAATGTAATGTAATTAATGTTAATGTAATGATTACCGGAGATGTAATCCAAAGAGCATATTAAGAATGGCTGTGTTTATATACTAATGTAGGAACTGGTCAAATCCAAAAAATATTTGAGATTTAGTTTCTGAAAGATAATTGCACAATCTTCCCCTCTACTACTGACGATACATGAAAGCAGAAGGTTTAGAATGTTCTTGCTTATATAGCTACTATTGTAGCATAGACTCATTGGGGATTTATTAAAAAAAAAAGGAAGATGGAGATTGATGCAGTATTCAGGACTATCCTATTTCTACCTCCATCATGAGCTTGTATACATATCTATTTATGGATAGGTACCAACCCAGTTTAACCTATGAGCAACCAAAGTATTGTCCAGAGAAAGAGGTTCTGCCAGGATCAGAAAGGGAATCTACAATAAGTGAATCGCAGGTTAATATGCTACAAAGGAACCGCTTCAGTCTTCAAACACTGATTAATCCATCCAGTCTGCCTACAGAGCAGTCAGCTACCACTGTCAGTTGTTCGGTGGGTCTCTTAGGTAAGTCGACAGATGTACAAATAAGTACAATATATTTACATAAACATTCATAAATAGCAGAATGTAATGTAGCAGAAAAAAAAGTCAAATCCAATTAAAACTTCCTACATTGCTTTCTTAGAAATGTCAGATGTGAATTTTTCTGGTGGAAAAATGTTTTTCTAGCTCACTCTTTATGGATTTTGTTTTGTAATCTAGTTTTCCCCCTAATTAAAAAGGAAGCAAAATGTGTTTTCTTACCAAATTATTTTTTTACCATTTGATGTTTACTCTGTTGCTAATTAGATGCTGCTATATTAGATGAAGCTGTATTTTTTTAAAGGAGATATTTCTGAAAGTTTACCTCCTTGCATTTTGCTTTTGATTTTCCATTTTCTTTTTTTTATACAGGTTTTCTGGTTTGTGGCTTGAGCATTCTGACCACATATGGGATTAATTCTATTGCCAGTATGGAGGTCTGGAGTGTGGTTCTTCTCACTGTGTTAGCACTACTCTTCATTGTCACTGTTCTCGTCATCTGGAGACAGCCTCAGAGCCAGCAGCAAGTGGCCTTTCTGGTGAATAAAATAATAAATGGAAATAATGCCAGTTGTGTGTGTGTGTGTGTGTGTGTGTGTGTGTATGTGTGTGTGTATCGGTCCATATTTTTGCTTTTTCTCGCAGATTCTTATCATTACAATCCAATTAACCCCACTAGTAACAGCAACAGTGGAAGTGCTGAAGTAGTTTGGCAGAGGCATTTTTACCTCTGTATGGCCTAGACCTTCTCAGTGCCTCTGTGCATACCACTGATAAATAGGAATTTATGTACTGGCTTTGTCAAGGTAAAAGAATCTGCAGTACACAGAACTACAAGATATTCCCTAATACTAGAAGACCTTGAGCCTATTGGCACAGAGGCTGCTTTCGCCCTAGTAGATGTAGCCTGGCTCCAACTGTTGTAGAGTATTTTCCTATAAAAGACAGGTTCCTTTCTCTTAGACCTGGAGGAGCAGTTTAGCATAAAACTAAATTCCTTGTGCTGTGTGTCATTAGGGCTCAGGCATTTCATGTGTCTCAGAGCGTTAATTTATTAGCTTTTCCCATGTTCTACAAGGCCTATTTCCCCCACTTCATTTAGGAAATGTGGAGGGGTAGAATTTGAGTGATGTGATGAAGGTAGTGCAAGCTGTTTGGTGGGGCAGTTTAGAAGGCATGCTTTTTTATTGAGCCAGGAGCAACTGCTTTAATTAAACTGCTTTTTGTTGAGGTGTGTTATCCTTTTCAATTATGTTTAAAGTATTCTGAGACATGCTAACTATAAATTCAAATCAGTGAAGTAAATATAGTTCCAAATTGCTTGTCTAGTTTCAATTCAGGAATTCATTGGAATATATTCAGTACAAATTGCAAAGAATTTTTTCCACAGCCTTATATAGGTAAGACTGATTTATCTATAGGAAACACTGGAAACTTATGTTTTGCAGAACCTGGTAATTCACCTGATAATAGACAGAAAACATTTCTTAGTCTTCATAAGGTGAATGTATTTGTCACTACCTGATCTGTGTTATAAAACTGAAATGCGATACATACTTTGCAGAAAGACTTGTAAACAATATTGACTTATAAAATATTTTTCTTTAGGTTCCACTCTTGCCATTTTTGCCAGCTCTCAGTATCCTGGTGAATATTTACTTGATGGTACAATTAAGCGGAGATACCTGGATCAGGTTTAGCATCTGGATGGCCCTTGGTAGGCACTTACTTATAACAAGAAGTTGTTGATTCTGTCATGTGTTTCCATTTATTTTTCTTCCTTTAAATATTTAAGGAAAAGGTTTTCTTTTAATAAATATCAAAGGATATTACAAGTTAAAAAGAGCATTTCTCAAAAGGTGTATATATCTGATGCACAGACAGTTGTGAAGTAGCAAGATGAGTAAAATTAAAGAACAAATTTCAGTTGCCTACAGAGTCCTTTCAAACAGAAGCCTTTTAAGCTTTATGTCTGAGTATGTATAGATCACCTTAGAGAAACACTGAGAATGAGTTTGGTAAAGTTGTACTGCCTGTACTATTTTAGGTGTAACATATTTGGCTTAGTTATAACATCAAAACAGGGAGTATCTGATATTCCCAGTTTTTGATTTGTAAATACAAAATGAAAGCTGAAAGTGGCTGCCGTGTCAAAGTTCTGTGGAAATTTTAGCTGGGGTGGGGAGAAGGGTACTAGTAGGAGATCAAAAATGGATGGGCCTATGCAAACTGCATCAAACTGCTCTGTGCTGGCAGGCTCCATGCATGCTGCCTCCTCAGGCACCAAGCCCAGCCCTTTCACCGTAGAGGCTGGTGGGGAAGGTGGTATCCAAGGCTGCTGGGAGGGGAGGGGAAGGAGAGGGGCAGGTAGGGGGAAGAGGCAACAGGGCAGGCACAAGCAGGGGGCAAGCTGCTCAACCTTCCCACACCACCTACCTCCTCACTGCCTGTCTGAGGCAGCAGTGGAAGGCATTAATTAAAGACTACCCTTCATGTATGTAATCTAATTATTGGGGGGATCATTTTAGATTTTAGGAAATATGGTAATTGGGCAAGGAAAAAGAAACCTAGGGAGAAAACATCTAAAATCAGCTTTTATAACAGATACAACTGAAAATGTAGACAGAAGCATGTTTAAACCCTCCTCTTCCTGCTTTATCACTTATTCTCCTGTAACTTACAATACTATGTAAAGTGTATTAAATTAAGTAATTGTTATGGTGCTGCAAACTTGCATTGCAGTCATAAATGAGATGCATTCTCAGTGTTAGCATTGCAAATAAAAGCACATGCAAGGAACTGGGCGATAGAAGTGATGCACTGGAGTCCTGAACTGGTGCTTTTGAA